GTGTTCGGTTTATAACGACTAACAATAATTTTTCTAATTTCATAGACAACAAAACACTAAATTTCTACTACTTGACCCCCCCCCTGACTCGAAAGCTGGATCCGCCCCTGCCGTTGCCGTTTTCGTGACATAGCAGCGTCATAAGGTGATGGGCAATTGTGCGTGACTTGCAGAAACAATTTTAGAACATTTGTAGTTCACATTTTTAAAATAAATAACCTTATTTAGGTATACAACAAACAATATTTTATACTTAAAGTACAAATGATTTTAAGGACACTAAAAAATAACAGCCTCTGCCTCTGCAACTAGCAACTGGCTACACGTTTTGTAAACCCATGTACTCTAAAAGTTTTAAAAACATTCTGGAAAAGAATTAAAATAGGAACGAAAAACTATTGTTTTACGCAGAACGAATAGCGTTTGTAGCTCTTAATTCTTTGTGAACAGGCAATAGTGGATTTTAATTTTTGATCTGAAAAAACTTTATTTGAGTCAAAATAGGTAACTCGCTTCTGTACTCTGAAATTTTCAAAATTTATTGATATTGTGGGATTTTGCATTCCAAGTGCCGTTCAAATTCGACGTAGGTACTTGTTTTGTAACATAATTTTGCTTTGCATAAATTGCATTTTGTAAAATTATCATCTAAGGCAGAAAAGAAAGTCCACGAAAACTAATTTTCTGTTGCTTAGCACAATACATAATAAACAATTTCAATTCGAAAAAATGAACAAAACAGAAACCTAAGCGTGTGCCCTGAAAATTATTTTTAAAATACACAAACAAGCTACCGATACACAATCAGAATACGTCTAATGAATGGTGCATTCTGAAATACGATACCCAAAAATATCAATAAAATCCAGGCTCAATGGAACTCGTAAATGCAGGCTTTCATTGGCAGAAAAGTACTTGAATTAATTAGAACGTGCTTCTAAAAAATATGAAAAAATCGAATTAACTAAAAACTTTTTTGAAGCACCTCGTATTCATGGTATCATTAATAAATGAGGGCACTCTGTATATTCAGTAGCCAACTAGCCCCATGCGGGTGTATATCGAACGTCGCAGTACAGGTTTCTACATTTTCAAGAATTTAATATTCATTTATTTTTCTTCGTCTTTCCTCAATAATCAGACAAAGATAGAACCACTCGATTTCTGAACTTGGCTAAAGTCATTGATTTTCTCGTTAGATTTTAACAATTGACATCGACAGAAGATCGCAGATATTTTTTTTCGCATCCACCACACGCAGGACTTAAGATTTGAGGGTTAGGAAAGCGTCGTTAAATAAAGCGCAAAATTTTGACGTTTATATATTATGTTGCCACGTTTATATGTGTCATTTTCTTAGGCGCATTTTATAGCTCTTTGTGTGCAGAATCACCAATGTTTTAAATATTTTTCATTGAACAGCACCCGTTTTTCCTTTTAATTTTTGCAAAATTTCTTGTTATTATCCCATTTCACATGTTGTTTATTGGATTTCTTTTAACTTTTTTTCTTTTTGTGATGTGCATCTGGTACGTTTTTTATTTTATGCAGTTCACTTTTGTGGAGACTTGCAATATTTGTGACGTCTTGGCAACGCCTGCGTGAATTTTTCATTTCTGTGCGTTCAACGCCACTTACGCCATCTGCTGGTAGTAGAAACAACGACGAATCATAACAAGCAAAGGGGTAGCCTAGTTAATGACCGAATATATTTTCACTCTACAACATGAAGAGAAAAAGACCGTTTGAAGGAGAACTTCCTCAGGAAGCTGTAAAAACAAAACGGCCGAAATCTCAAGTAAAACTAAGCGACCCTGATCGTGATATAGTAGGTAATGATTCCCAGCATAAACGCAAAGACTCCGCCGTGCCATTAGCTTCAAAAAGTTCGAGGAAGAAAAACACAAAATCGCAAGTAACTATATCTGATACATCCAATTTAGAGAAACCTAGCAGTAACAAAATGAGCAAGGCTAAGGGTGATATTATCGACAATGCAATGACAAAATACATTCCAACATCTTGCGAGTCTCCAAGGGGTCGGGGCATAAGTGATTTAAAAAGAGTAAGAGCATCATCTTATTCTCCCTCAGATTTACGGCCACTAGGGGACTACTTGAAGAAAACCAAAAATTCAAGGAAAAATGCTGCTACAACACAAGAAAATTCATCATCACAAAACAGTCAAAATACCAAAAAGAAAAAGTCTGTAAAGAAAGTGTCGTTTACCAATAAAGATTTTGAGAAAAATTTAGATTCTTCAGAATCTGACTCATCGACGAATGAAAGAACGAAAACTAAGACTACACCATATGTTGAATCTACCAAGAATGGTACTGATTCCAATTTAAAACTCACCACTGTCAATGCAGGCAGCAAAAAAGCCAAAAAGAAAGTGAGAATTGATGAAACCGAAAGTCTCAAAGTCAAAAGGGAAATGGCCGAAGCAGAAACGCATTTTTCAGCAAAAGAACTGCCAGCAAAAATTATAAAGTCAAAGTTAAATAAGAATTTAACTGAAGAAGTTAAAGTTTCTCCTTTAACAATTCAGGATGTAAAAAAAGATAAAAACCTTTTCAAAAAAAATGTGTCCGGCAATAAACACAGCGATAGAGAAGATAATTGTCTGCTTAATACAGACGTAAAGATCGATGACTTGTACCCAGAAACAGGATTTCCAAGTGGACTGGAACTAGACACCACATCTGAAGACTCCGATTTAGAAGTGTACTACATCAATAAAAATGCAGAGAAAGAAGCAAAAAGAAAGTCTATTGATAATAAGCGTAAGTTATTTTTATAAATCTCTATGCTAATGTTAATTTTATGTGTTGAACTGCTGCTTTACACACCTATAAACATTGCAGAAACTATAAAGATGCCAAAGGAGGACCAACTTATTTTAGCAGAAAGAATGCAAAATTTTATTCCAGATGGTGACACGAAAAGCTACAAATATCGTCTACGAAACTTAGAATGGGGCAAAGTAATTATTTCAAGCTTGCTTTCTAGGAGAAATAAATGTATGCAATTTTCAAATTCCAGATAACTTTCAAGAATTATACTCTTGAAGAATGTCAGACAGTATGGACGCAGTTGCTCAAAAAAGTCCGACATTACCGTCTACTAGTCGAAATTACTCACGATATAAAGCGAGTAATTGAACGTGTAGACATGCAGGAATTAAAACCCCGCAGATCAAAAGTATGTTTTCTTAGCATGAGAATATTATCATTTGGGTTAATTTTATGGTGTTTATTTTTCCTATGTAGTTTTTACATTTCTTTACGAACAACAGCGACTTACCCATTTTGTACTAATATTCAATTCAAATGGGCAAGTGCGTAACAGTGCAAACGTTGAAGTATCTTGATGTTTCAGTCCAGTCACTTACATCCAGACATGCCGAAAAGACCACTTACCTCATATTTCTTGTACTATATAAGAAAGAGGGACAAACTTGTGAAGGAAAGGCCAGATCTTGACACCGTAAGAAATGTATTTTGTTAAATTTGGAGCTTTTTTCTTAAACATTGTGTGTTTTATTTTAATTTAAAATTTTGCCAGAACGTTGGGAGAGTAACAGCTAGATCTCACCGCTGTAGGATTTAATGGGAAATTGATTTGTGTCACACGTTTATAAATTAAATTTTCTACTTTGAGAAACTGGGTAAATAGTTCAAGTATTTTTACTAATATTTGTATCAATTCTAGACGGAGCTAAATAGATTCATAAGTGAAACATATCAGAACTTGCCAGTGGACAAGAAACAGAAGTATGAAGTTTTAGCAGCCAAAAACCGTGAAGAATATAAGAAGCAGTTGGAAGAATTTTAGTACGTATAATACTCTTTGAAATTGGGAGGAGTTGTTTGTAACTTCGACACTTTGTTGAAACGTATTTCTAATACTAGCATGTTTTTAGTTCGAAGCATCCAGAAATGCGTAAAGTTGTAATTAAAAAACAACGCAAGAATGAAAAAGAAAAACCTCCGAAAAGGCCTGAAAATCCCTATAGACTCTTTATTAAAGAGGAACAAAACCGAGAGGAAATTTTGGAGGAAGATAAAGCAGAGTTTAAAGAAGTATGCAGGGAAAAATGGAACCAAATGTCGGACGAAAAAAAATTGGTGTGGATAAATTTAGCAGAAGAGCGGCACATGGATTATGAAAGAGAAATGAAAGATTTCATGGCAAGGCATCCAGAATATACCCCAAAATCTGGCAGTCGTAAATCTGTGTTATCCCGACAAGAAGTAATGTTAAAAGACAAACTTGCAGGTAACCACGTTTAAAAGCCCTTTCCAGTCATGTTTTATTGATAATCATTTTCACATAGGTAAACCTAAAAAACCTCCTGGAACGGCTTATGGATTATTCATAAGTACGACTTTACAAAGTGGTGAAATCGCAACTATCCCACCTAAAGAAAGATGGAATTATACATCGACCAAATGGAAGGCAATGACAGACGATGAAAGAGAGCACTATAAAGTATTATTGGCACAAGTAAGACTACCGTAATTTTTGAAAATAGCTGGGTTTGACGTCAATTAAAATATAGGTACATGAACAGTATCAGAAGGACTTCAAAATGTATTTGGATTCATTGCCCGAAGATAAACAACAGGAGGAGTTTCTGAAAAATCTTCCTAAAAAGAGAAAACGTGCTGCGGCTGATAAAGTTTCTGGCCGAGGCGCTAAAAGAAAAACGACTGCAACCAAACCAGCATCTTCACGACCTAAAACTACAAAACAAAAAGGAAATCCTGTTCAGAATCCTGTACCTCCAGCCAGGTAAATATTATTAATACATCATTTCATAAAACTTGCATTAACCTTTCGTTCCTTGTAAGAATGTCATATTAGAGTTTAATAAAAAGTTCCTGCAAAATGCGTCCGTAAACGTAGCTTATTGCACCATTAGAAAGAACATAGTTTTCCTAGTAGGTGCCCTGAAGTTCATTCTACAAGCGTTTGTTGTTTATGTCGATTTCAACAACAAAAAAATGCAAAACTTAAGTAAAAATTGATCGCGGTTTTGAAATTTACACATTTATTTGGATAATTTGTGCTCCATTTGAAAGGTCTCTTATCTTAACTATTCTATTAATTAATTAATTTTCCAAATAATATATTTTATTTAGGTCTGCTTATAAGTTTTTCGCTGAAAAATACGAAGGTGATAATCCAAAGGAAGCATGGAAGAATTTTACGTCAGAGGAAAAAGACAATTATGAGCGGCAGCTCAGCGTTATAAAAGATAAATATATTAAAGATTTTGAAGCGTACTTAAAAAGTTTGTCAAAAGATGAACTGTCAGCTTTCTGTGCAAATAGAGGCTCCCAAGAGGAGTACAGTAGCTCGGAAGACAGTGAATCCGATTCCGAGCATGGAGAGGAAGTATGTTGCTTTCATATTTAATGGTTTTCTTACTAAAACTGAATAATTCTTTTAGGAATCCTCTGACAACAGAACAGCCCTTTCAGATTCTGATAATGAATCAGAATGAGAACTAAAAGATGTTTTTTATTATAAGAGTTTAGCATAGTGAACTATGCTCTGGGTAAGTTTGTCAGAAGCAGTGAAAAAAATTTATACCTGATCTGATAAAACAAGTTTTTTTAAATCATTTCCATTCATCAAAATAATTTTAGCTCCCTTTAATGATATGTTTTGCGCGTTTAAACTTAATAATTGGCAGTTAGTGTAAGTTGGTGTCAAATATTGAGTTCACACATTTTATGTACTTAGCAAGAGCAATAAGCTCTTAACCTCTTATTAACAGCTAAATTACAAATAAACTCTTCCGGTGTTAGTTCGTCAACTCTAAGCGGATGTGTCATAATGAAAAAGCATTATTTTACTGAAATATTGGAAAGTTGTGATACTTTAAAATCACCAAAAAAAAGGTTTGTGCAATTTTTTTAATCAGTTTAAAAAATATTTATATAAAGCCTTGGAACTTCACTTAGTCGAAACAACAGATTCAATGAAGAGAAAGGCCTATTAATTAAAACAATATTTCCGGTTTTGTAGTCCTTTTTTTATATTTCAGGAATTAATTTTTTGTTCTATTAGTTTTCCGTCAATGTTAATATTTTCTTTGCGATTAATTTGAAATGGCTTAGCAGACGATTTTTTATTGAAGCATTTTTCTTGTTTGTTGTTTCATGTTTACTTGTTTCAGCCCGAACTCCCTCCCCTAAAGGGGTGGGGGGTTAGGAGCTGCAACTTTAAATGAAAAATGTATTTTATAATGAAATTTGTAGTTACCAGGTTACAAAAAGTAAAAGTTTTGGTCGTTCTTGAACAAATTAATTGTATAAATAGTATTATTATCTAATAATTTCCGCATTAATGCGACATATATGAAGTTATGTTTCGGCCAGTTCTTTGAGAGTTGTCCATTTCAATCCGATGCCAGCTTATATACGTTGCGTGAATGAAAAACAATTAATTTAATATATTGGGCGAATGAAGTCGCTTGGAGTCCACTACAAATTTATTTAGCATACTCGACGCGATTCGGTTATTTATAATATATAACCATAAACAGGTAACCAGACCTAAAACTGCGTCAACGGAATTACAGGTGGAAAAAAAGCAGGGCATCGGGCACATTACAAGGGTTAAAGCACAGCTATTATGCTCCAATAGAGCATAATTTTATGTCATTTCTATGTTAAATAAATGTATAGTGAACTTCAAACGACTCTTCATTCACCCAATATGTTATCAAGCCACTACCTCGGATTCAAACAAAATTTAATTAATTTAAGGACATAAATGTGTTTAATTACTTTGCTTAAAGATGACAAATGTCGCTATTATCAGTTGTAAAATATTTTTCTGTAAACATCGGAACTTTACAAACACGCTGTGATGTTATCGTTTATTTCAGCTATGCTAAGTTTATACTTGATATTTACGTAATAGAATATTCATAGATTTATTGGTGTGAAACTATCTGTAACTTCGTATTGAATAAAACAATATAAAGTGTTGATTGATTTTTTATTGTAATGACACAGAATACTACAATTGTCTGATTAACAAACCGATAAAACATATAAGTAGCAACCTATACAAATAATCAGTTTTAACCCATCACCCATGTCTGAAATTTACAATTGAAAAATATTTACATACAGGAAAAAATATTTGGTTTCGGTTTCACGAACACAAATAAAAGATTAATAATATTTAGCAAAAATGCTAGAAATAAATTTGAACTAAAATAACACTAACGAATTCTATTATGTATATATCTGACTAAATGTACAAATTAATCAACACATCAGATACATTTCTACAAAATAAGTTCTTTTCGTTTCAAGTGCAGACCTAAGGTGTAAAAGTAGGCCTAAAGCACAAAATAGAAACATTTTAACAACGTCAAGACTACAGATGTAACAATGTTGCTCTACAACTATACCAACAGTTTCTAGTTAATATAGATCCAAAATATAATAAAAATACTATTGTCATAATAGATGTATAATATAATTTGATTTTCTAAATCTTCTGGACAAAATAATTCGTTTAAAGTCATGTTGTATCAAACATACGATGTTTTTAAGAGCACATCAAATTTCTAAGTCGTGTATTCACATTTAACATCTATCTAAAGCATCTTGGAATCATCAAACAGTTATGTACTTTATTAATTATATCTTTCGATTCAACGTGTAAACATTGTACAATAAAGGCTGTGTCCCATGCATCAGTTTATACGATGGTACGAAAGTGTTTCTATTGGTTGGAGAAACACTTTCGTATCATCGTACCATCGTATAAACTGATGCATGGGACACGGGCTTAAGGCATAACTGTTTGAACATATGACCTAATTAACATTTAATAAATTCTCAAGAAGAAATGGAATGAGAGGGGTACGGTTAAGTCCAGGGGATATAGAAAGAAAACAGTTAATAGTATATAGGCAGTTAGGCCTGTTTTATCGCCTGACAAGAGTTAAGGGTGGCGCATAGTAAAGAAAGCTTAGGTATCACAAGAGCAGGCCGCCCTTAAGCGTTTAGGTAATAAAGGAAGGCTTTCTTTACGTGATAACATGGTCCTTACACACCAAATTTTACTGGTAATTAAAATTGGTATACCACCTAATAATTGAGCATTATTATTGTTTGTATTTATGGGACCAATTATCTAAAAATATTAATTCCTCAAAATGAAGTGCCAAATTTGAGTAGGACATTTTCGAAGACACCATTATTTTTCACATAATACTGGTATATTATTTTGCTGCAGAATGTTTAACATTTAACTGTTTTTATTCAGACGTTTATTCGGAAGTGTTAATAGTAATTGTTTTGCCTTTGGCATCATCAAATCTGTCCATGGTTTTGATATCCATCATCATTGTTATTCCAAAGGTCATAATCAGTAACAAAATAAAGGTTACGAAAAGCCCAGACCAAATTGGAATAGTGGTAAAACCAACACAATTATAAGGATCATCAAATTTAGATGACCTGGTCCTGGGAGTCGATCTGTAGGACGTTGGTTGAACCTGTTAATAAAGTAATTTTTGAATTTTGTAAATTACCAATGACAACAACATTAGAACTTACTTGGAATTGTGGGAATGTAACAGCTAGATTTGTAGATTTGAAAACTTGATTGCCACACGCGTAAGAGAATCCCAATGGGGCATAAATAGTTCCGTTGGTTGTTTGATTGAATGAGGTATTATTTACCGTCAAATGTATATCCTGTAGATACCAATAAGAGTTGCCGGATTTGGTAAATTGAAAACTGAAATTTGGGAAACTCATTATTAATATATCAGGTAATCTAAGTTGAATGTAAATCTTACAT